ATGGAGAAAGCAGAGACGACAAAGAAAGCAGAGGCGACAAAGAAAGCAGAGGCGACAAAAGAAAGCAGAGGCGACAAAAGAAAGCAGAGGCGACAAAAGAAACCAAAGGACACAAAGAAAGCAGAGGCGACAAAAGAAAGCAGAGGCGACAAAAGAAAGCAGAGGCGACAAAAGAAACCAAAGGACACAAAGAAAGCAGAGGCGACAAAAGAAAGCAGAGGCGACAAAAGAAAGCAGAGGCGACAAAAGAAACCAAAGGACACAAAGAAAGCAGAGGCGACAAAAGAAAGCAGAGGCGACAAAAGAAAGCAGAGGCGACAAAAGAAACCAAAGGACACAAAGAAAGCAGAGGCGACAAAAGAAAGCAGAGGCGACAAAAGAAAGCAGAGGCGACAAAAGAAAGCAGGCGACAAAAGAAAGCAGAAACGACAAAGAAAGCAGAGGCGATAAAAGAAAGCAGAGGCGACAAAAGAAAGCAGAGGCGACAAAAGAAAGCAGAGGCGACAAAAGAAACCAAAGGACACAAAGAAAGCAGAGACAACAAAGAAAGCAGAGACAACAAAGAAAGCAGAGACAACAAAGAAAGCAGAGACAACAAAGAAAGCAGAGGCGACAAAAGAAACCAAAGGACACAAAGAAAGCAGACACAACAAAGATAGCAGAGGTGACAAAAGAAAGCAGAGGCGACAGAGTAAGCAAAAACAACTATTTCAAGAGGGATGACGTCAGGGGGCTATGAAGTGGGATTGAACTCGCGCCTCAGCTGGGCTTCCCCAAACACACGCAATACCCACTCGACCATGATGAGCCTTCAGACATCACACCCCAGAAGATCTACCAAACTTGCTCACACAGTTTAGAAGACACTCAACTGGGTACCCAAATCCACACTTAATATGGTACCCACTCCCATGGTACCCCACTCGTACCCAAGTACCCTCTCGTACCCAGGTAGTGATGTGTGTGTCTCACCCTTTCGTCCAGTCAGTGCACAAAAACATCACCAACAACCTGATGTATCTAGAAAGAAGGTGATATATTGCGTGTTCATTATGCACCTTAAACCGGATTGAGTTGCTTCGCATATATATATATACTGGCCAGACTGTACGAACTGAAAGCCTGCCGCAGCCTACCGCAGCCTACCGCAGCCTGACGACGGACTGCGTGAGTGTGTGTTAAATGCGGGCTAATGCAGCCTGGTCTAAAATCAGGGGCTAGATTCACGAAGCAGATACGCAAGCACTTACGAACGTGTACATCTTTCCTCAATATTTGACGGCTCTGGTTACATTTATTAAACAGTTTACAAGCATGAAACCTTCGTAATCGACTGTTGTTATTGTTATAAACAGCCTCCTGGTGCTTCGGAGCTCATTAACTGTTTACTAATTGTAAACAAAGCCGCCAAAGTTTGAGAAAAGATGTCCAGGTTCGTAAGTGCTTCGTGAATCTGGCCCCTGGTCCGGCTAGAATATTGTGACGTAAGTGACGTCACAATATTACGAACCATACACGAAATACTAATTTATGTCTCTTGTTCTCCTTAAGTTAGATTGGGTTAGGTTAGGTTAGGTTAGATTGGGCTAGGGTTAGGCTTGGTTAGGTTGGGCTAGGGTTAGACTTGGTTAGGTTGGGCTAGATTAAGTTAGACTGGGCTAGGGTTAGGCTTGGTTAGGTTGGGCTAGGGTTAGGCTTGGTTAGGTTGGGCTAGATTAAGTTAGATTGGGCTAGGGTTAGGCTTGGTTAGGTTGGGCTAGATTAAGTTAGATTGGGCTAGGGTTAGGCTTGGTTAGGTTGGGCTAGATTAAGTTAGATTGGGCTAGGGTTAGGCTTGGTTAGGTTGGGCTAGATTAAGTTAGATTGGGCTAGGGTTAGGCTTGGTTAGGTTGGGCTAGATTAAGTTAGATTGGGCTAGGGTTAGGCTTGGTTAGGTTGGGCTAGATTAAGTTAGATTGGGCTAGGGTTAGGCTTGGTTAGGTTGGGATAGATTAAGTTAGATTGGGCTAGGGTTAGGCTTGGTTAGGTTGGGCTAGATTAAGTTAGATTGGGCTAGGGTTAGGCTTGGTTAGGTTGGGTTTTTTTTATAGAGTACTGATGACGAAGATGATGCGTACTTTTTTCAGGTCATGAGCCCTTCTCGCCAAGAGGATCGTCGACGCGAAAAGTGAATCTTTAAACGCCACTATTCTCCAGATGTGTTGCTGGTGACGGTCTCGCTTCATGCAGGTCGGCGTTCAATCCCCCGACTGTCCAAGTAGATGGGCACCATTCCCCTCCCCCCCCCCCCTCCCATCCTATCCCAAATCCTTATCCTGACCCCTTCCCAGTGCTATATAGTCGTGATGGCTTGGCGCTTTCCCCCTGATAATAAAGGAGACCTTACCTCCCCTTCGGCTGGCAATTGTCAGCATTATAACTCACGTTAGTACCATAATAACTCAATTTAACACGTGGTGGTGAAGTCACCTTAACCCAAGTTAGCCTTGTTGTGTCGTTAGCGTCAAGACATCAGACGTCAAGGAGGCGAAGTCAATTACTTAAGACGAAATTGCTTCTGTTTTTTTTTGTGGTTGCCATCTTGTGAGTTCAATCTCATTTATTCTATTTCTCTAAAATATTGAGAGAATTTAACTTGGTTTTCCTATCTGCTTTCGTAATTTGTTGCTGTTTTTCTTATATACGTTATTTTAGTTGATATTGTATTGCTGTTGAAATAAATTTACCAAGGCCTTCTGAATGTAAACAATGGATGACGTCAGAGAGCAGCTGATGCTCATTTGTTTCATCATGGCGGTCGACGACCAACCAATTTGCAATCCTTTTCTCGCTGACGTTATCGGCGACACCGAATAAATTATCACCAGTTTATTTGTCCAGGTTGGGAGATAAATAACCCAGTTGGAGGGAGATCGGGTCGTTAGCAAGGTATATACTTCTAAAAACTTGATATTTATCCTAACAATGCACTTCTCACACACTTGTTATATCTTAACAAGTATATATATATATATATATATATATATATATATATATATATATATATATATATATATATATATATATATATATATATGAAATGTTAGACTAGAAATAAAAATGAATTTTGGAGAATTGATTTTTGATTTACCTCCAACAGTGAAGCGTAATGTACGAAAGATTGAGAAAATTCGTGTTAGAATTATTAATCTTACTTTTTCGGTCATATTTAATAATATATGTCTACAGGAAAGACTGCTACCAAAATATACTGATATTATACGATATATATATATATATATATATATATATATATATATATATATATATATATATATATATATATATATATATATATATATATATATATACTTTTTAAGTTTTTCATTTATTTGAAAAAAATTGACTAGTTTAACTAGTGTTTTGCTACTGAAAGTGAAGCACTCCATTTGCAATTAAAAGCGATTAACTGCCCATGTAGGAAAAATCAAATAGGTTGAGCTGTTATCGTGGACAAGAATGATGGATCGATGTGTGTTGCTGGAGTTACTGAAATTGCTCTGAACAAATTAGGAGCTCCGGCACTCTGTCCCGCTAGCTAATTGTGTTGAGAGCATGTATACACGATGATTTAACTCCAATGTATAATTTTCATTATATGTAGCAGTGTTTAAACTAATAATATGCCTGTTTCTGTATTAATTCTGGCTTTTCTTCCATTTAGCTATTGTAATGTGATTAACTACAACTGTCGGTTGTTCAACAACTGGAAGTTGTTAGATCACGTGGTTTGGTGTTGAATTTAAAGTTTGCCTACAGGGTTGATAAGGGCTGTTAATCCCTGGAGGGTTAAGGCCAATTAACCTCTGGTGGGTTATTAAGTTGTTAAATCCTCCTCCTCACAAGTACTGTCTAGCCAACTAGCAAGTTTATCTTTTAACATAGGAAACTAGAAAGCATGTTTAACATATCTCAAGCATAAAATCTCAGTGGGTATACACCGAGGAGTGAGGTATACCGTGAGGAATATTGGTACTAGTACTTCTACTTCTACTTCTACTTCTGAGTAGAATTAGAACTACTGCTGCTGCTGTTTGGCTTAACTAATGCTTTTATAATTGTACAATTGTATTTTCCTTCATATAAAAAAAGGAAGAAGTATTCCAACATGAGAAATATTCCAAAGTGAGAAATATTCCGAAGTGAGAAATATTCCAAAGTGAGAAATATTCTGAAGTGAGAAATATTCCAAAGTGAGAAATATTCCGAAGTGAGAAATATTCCGAAGTGAGAAATTTTCCAAAGTGAGAAATATTCCGAAGTGAGAAATATTCCAAAGTGAGAAATATTCCAAAGTGAGAAATATTCCGAAGTGAGAAATATTCCAAAGTGAGAAAACGAAGTGAGAAATATTCCAAAGTGAGAAATATTCCAAAGTGAGAAATATTCCAACGTGAGAAATATTCCAAAGTGAGAAATATTCCAACGTGAGAAATATTCCAAAGTGAGAAATATTCCAAAGTGAGAAATATTCCAAAGTGAGAAATATTCCAAAGTGAGAAATATTCCGAAGTGAGAAATATTCCAAAGTGAGAAATATTCCGAAGTGAGAAATATTCCGAAGTGAGAAATTTTCCAAAGTGAGAAATATTCCGAAGTGAGAAATATTCCAAAGTGAGAAATATTCCAACGTGAGAAATATTCCAACATGAGAAATATTCCAAAGTGAGAAATATTCCAACGTGAGAAATATTCCAACGTGAGAAATATTCTGAAGTGAGAAATAAAGTGAGAAATATCCAAAGTGAGATTCCAAAGTGAGAAATATTCCCAACGTGAGAAATATTCCAAAGTGAGAAATATTCCATGAGAAATATTCCAAAGTGAGAAATATTCCAAAGTGAGAAATATTCCAAAGTGAGAAATATTCCATGAGAAATATTCCGAAGTGAGAAATATTCCAAAAGAAATACTCCAAAGTGAGAAATATTCCAAAGTGAGAAATATTCCGAAGTGAGAAATATTCCAAAGTGAGAAATATTCCAACGTGAGAAATATTCCAACGTGAGAAATATTCCAACATGAGAAATATTCCAAAGTGAGAAATATTCCAACGTGAGAAATATTCCAACATGATAAATATTCCAAAGTGAGAAATATTCCAAAGTGAGAAATATTCCAACGTGAGAAATATTCCAAAGTGAGAAATATTCCAAAGTGAGAAATATTCCAAAGTGAGAAATATTCCGAAGTGAGAAATATTCCAAAGTGAGAAATATTCCAACGTGAGAAATATTCCAACGTGAGAAATATTCCAAAGTGAGAAATATTCCAACGTGAGAAATATTCCAAAGTGAGAAATATTCCAATATGAGAAATATTCCAAAGTGAGAAATATTCCATTATGAGAAATATTCCAACATGAGAAATATTCTGAAGTGAGAAATGTTCCAAGATCAATTTGCAAATAA